AGTAAATCTTTTTCCTTGATCTTCTCTTGCTATTGAATGTTTCATCCGATGCCACAAGGAATCCAGTATAATTTCGTTGTGTGAGCACGTTGTTGTTAATTTTTGCAGAAAAACAAGATTATAAGTGCGACCTGTTATTCAAACGATGCCATCAGCTATGATCTTACAAGCGAGGAACTATCATCGGGAAGGTATAGATACAAGTGCACGTGCAATGGAACACGCAATAACCCGCAAGCGTCAAGGATGTTTTGTATCATAAACTACTGGCAGTGTGAACTTTGAACTCATCCATGAAATGGGTGTATTTTAAAGGGGATCCTAAGGTGGTAAATCATCCTTGATTCAAATGTTCACTGTAATGACAGCATTGATTGTTAGCTGAGTATGTGATGTCCATAATTATCAATAATATTTGCCACTCCTTTACAATGCAGTGATTAGGTAACACCATGGGGACCATTCTCCTCAAGAGAGTTCCTCTGTTCTAAAGAAAAGGCACAGTTAATGACCGAATTTCCCACCCCCCACACCGCCCAAATATGCAACTCAGCTGCAAGGTTACTTCCCAAAAAGGCTGGTCAGCTCGAATAAGCACTCCTCCAACACGTCCTCTCCTTCAGGTGTTCTTCGTTTAGACCTTTGTCATGCGCAATTGACGATGTGTCATTAAGGAAAATATAATGCTTCAGTGTACAGATATCAACAAATGCGTAAAAGTTATTTAGTTGATAGCTTCTTGGGAATCACGTTCTTCTAATTACGTTCCCAACTTTATCCTTTATGTGAGCTCGTTTTGACAATGTTTTAGCTAAATCCGTTTCGAAAATTTGAATACAAAAAGAAATGCGCGGCAAGTATTGTTTCCTTTTGTTTGCAATTTTGGCATAAGCCAGTTAGGTCAATTTTTTTGAATAGGTATTGTTCGGGCAAAAAACATTTGTTATGACCACTGGAATCACTTTTATAAAGCTACAAGTTAAGGAAAACCAAGACGAACTCTCCCGGGAGTAATAATCATGATTATAATATATTATAAATTAACGAATATCACGTAAATATATTTAATCTAAATAATTAATTTTTGCTCATCAAACACAATTGGTCGGACGGCTTTAATTGAGAAGACTAGTTACTTTCTGTATATTTGATGAAGACCAATTATATTTTTCTGTAAAAATTATCTTCAGATTTTCCATTCTACTGAAGTTTTGTTTTAGGCAATTAACCTCGTAAATTAAAGACTAT